CATACACTATGCTCACCACGCTCACCATACACCACACTCACCACATTGTACCGTGGCGTAATTACGCGATGTTCCAGTTACAAAAATATTGTTTTGTTCTTTGCAATGAGACTAACTCGGTATTTCTCCGATTTTACTGTTATTGTCTCTTTGCACTGTGTTGATAATCGACAATATTTTTCATAAAAAATTCAAAAACATGTCTTTCGTGACAGTAAAACCCAAGGACGCGTTTTGCGTAGTGAATAAACGAATTTCTTTCTTTCTTCTCCTAACTATTAGGTCTTACAGAATCAAATAATTATAGATATGTTTATATAAACACACAAAAACAGAAATTTAAAAATGTTTTCATTAAAGTCGATTGTATCTAAACGTACTGGTTACGTTCAGTTTCTATAGCTTTATTATAGTAATAAATTGCGCGAAATTGATAAAGTAAAGATACGGCTACGATATCTTCGATCGACAACTACGAGATAAGATTTGTAATGACGATATCATTTCTAAAGGTTGTTGCACACTTGTGGCAATGTTATACATGTAGTTTGTGTAAATAATACATCTGGCAATTTGAACCTAATAAGTTATTCGTTATTAGGATTACTTAATGGATGGATGGTTTTTTAAAGTATTTAAAAATACGAATGTACTAATGCTTAATAACATGGGTTCCAAACCGTAATCTAATAAAGTCATAGTGGAAATGGTTGAAAAAATATTAATAAATTATTTCAATGTAACGTTTAATGTTTTTAAAATAAATGTTGGCAATCAGTACTGTGTAATTTCAAGTGTACACACTTCTCAATGTATATTCGCGTGTGCAGTGTATGTTCACTAACAGTGTACGTTGTTGTGACATGACATAGTGTGCCATATTGCAGGCACGTGGGACATGATCCGCGGCAAGATAGAGGCTGTCACCGGCAGGACCAAGTCCAAGGAGAAGCAGAACAAGGTAACAATTACACACTTACAATATCACAAGTTATATATCTTAAC